TATTTGCTACTGGAAAACATTAGGAGAAGACAAATATGATCAAACTAGGTTATCCTGGCTTTTTCCAAAATCGAACAAAGTTTGTGCAGGAGGCTGTAGCTAGATAAATCATAGTCATGGTAAACTCTGCAAGTTCTTTATTGCCTTTCTCTTACATGCAGGTTCTAGAGAAAGCATGCATTGACCTATATATTAAAAATCTGAAAGAAAGAAGCTTCAGTGTTCATTATTTATCCTGATATATGATTTATAAATTTATGCCACTCTGTTTTAAAGAAGCTGTAAACAGCAGGAAGCACATTAGAGCCTAAAACTAGATGTAGAACTCACACAAAGTGCAGAAGAACAGTGTTACCTGATGATCATGATGGAGATGAGAAGTGATCATGATGGAGATGAGAAGTAATCATGAAAATGAGCGCCTGGTCTCAAAGGTTCATGGAACCTTTTACCAATAGACTCTAGAAAAATATCTCTCTAAGAACTCTGCACAGCAGGCCAGCCTTTGGTAGGCTATAAAGTTTAATTAATTAGGGATTAAAATATAGCTGATACAATAAAGTGAGTAAGGATGATATTACCTGTTAATTATAACTCTAATAATTGATTTAAAAAATAATTTTGTAACTGTTTCATCACTGTAAATCATTATTTTTAAGTAAATACATTTGTTTAACCTTTAGTCTTGTCTAATGATAAAATAGATGCTCTAGTCTGATATTTGCCAGGCCACAGACTTCCCTTGGGCACTGTGTGGTAGCTAGAGGAGTGCTGCAGCCCCCTGAGACCCCAGGGGCTCCCCAGGCCCCAGTGCCCTCACCTGTGTGCGGGGGCGGGGGGAGCACAGCTGGAGGGCTGGGCCCCGATTGGCCGATAGTCCATGTCATGTGACACTGTGCTCACTATATAAAGGCAGGAGTGGGCCAGGAGGGGCTCTCACTTCCAGGAGTGTGGCTGTGGGGCCTTGGTGTTGGGGATCGCCCGGCGGGGAGCAGGTGGGTGTTGGTTGGTCGGTTGGCGGGTGGTGAGCAGCTGTATCACCTGCTGATACTGCTGTCAGCGTATTGTTCTGTTACTGTTATTAAACTGTTTTTATCTCAACCCGCGAGTCTCCCTTTGCCCCTCCGATTCCCTCCCCGTTCCCAAGTGGGGGGAGGGTGGGTGAGCAGCTGAGTGGCGTTTAGCTGCTGAGCACAGGCTCAAATGACAACAGGTATTTACTATGAAATGAGAGATACAGCATTCCAGTATTTTTGGTTAATTCACCATTGAGCTCCAGAGACCCAGCTGTAGTTGGATGAAACAAATTATTGTGGAGTACAGACATCTTTTTCTGTGAATGGCAGGTTAAGCCTCTGACAAATATCAAGATAGTGGACACAGAGCCTGGAGATTTTGGTGTATCTTAAAGATGAAGAGCTTTCCTGTAACAATATTGTATTCTGAAAAGCAAATTATTTAATGATTTTAGAATGGCAAATGTGCATAATTGATTTACACAACTGGAGAGATAATAAGAATGAAAGTTATTTCATGTTTATTTATTTGAAATTTTTCCTTCTGTAGCTGTTTATTTTTTAGTTTATAGCTACTGCTCTGCCTCTACCACAGACTATGTGTTTCTCTAGACTAACTGTTGTTTTCACTATTATACTTTAAATATATTATGGCCAGACCTGTGTGAAACAAAGCCATTTTGATTCACAAGGATTTCACACAGACATTTGTTTCTGTTTCACTTCAAGGAGATCATCCCTTGAGTTTGCCTTTGAATTTCAACTTCAAAGGAACTGTTGTGGTTTGGGCCTGGTCAGCAGCCAACCCCCACAGCTAATCACCCTCCCTTCCCCCTCCCCAGCTGGGAATGGGGGAGGGGATTAGAGGGGTGAAGGGAGACTTGCAGGCTGAGATAGGAACAGTTTATTAATGGCAATAAAATGAGAATAATAACGATGATGGGGGAAAACAAAAAGCAATATATAAACAGGCAATGTACAGTGTAATTGTTCCCCACCCGCTGACCAACCCCCAGCCCGTTCCCAGCCAGCGACCCCGAAATACCAAGATCCCACAATCGCAATCCTGGAAGCGAGAGAGAGCCCCTTCCCAGCCACCCCTCCTTTATATAGTGAGCATGATGTTCCATGATATGAAATATTTCACTGGCCAGTTTGGGTCAGGTGCTCTGTCCGTGCTCCCTCCCTGCTCCCTGTGCCCTTGAGCACGGGCAGGACATGGGGAGTCCTTGAAGTCTCGGCAGCAGCTGAAAACATCAGTGTGCTATCAGCATTCTTCTCACACCAAACCCAAAGCTAAATCCAAAACACAGCACTCATCTAGTCCCTGAAAAGGAATATTAACTCTATTTCAGCCCAAACCAAGACAGGAACCTAAAACTGCGATCTGAAATTCAGTCAAGAACGTAAAGCCTTGCCTTGTTTCAGGTCAAAAGCTCAGGAAAGTGTTGAATTTCCTGACCAAAGCAAAAGCAATTAACTGAAAAAAAAACCCTCCAGTAACATAGAATTACCTTGTTCCTTTAAGTTAAGCAAAACTCAAACTCATTGAAATCATCAGCTATGGAGTTACAATCCCCACTAATGTAGTCTTGACTCCAACCTCTTTGAGATACTGCTATACCCACCATACCTACATTGAGAAAATAAATACATATTTTACTGTAGAGTGTAATACCATTTGTTTTGTAAAATAATCTTATATTTAAGCAAAATGGTACTGAAAACATTCTGTCTGCACTTAAAACTTTCCTGCTCCATAGAATCATGACATCTGCTAAATTTTATCTCCATTCATACAACCCTCAATGCTGCTTAAAAATGCTTGCAGGTATTTTCATACCACATACGATCTATCTTTCCAGCTTCCCTCCTCCCCCAACATCTCTTTTGTACTGCTGTTGACACAAACATCAGAACTCCACAGCCACAGCAAAAAGCAGCACAACAAGCATGTCTGAGCACATTGTACAAGTAGAAAAGGACAGATAGCGTCAGTATCATCATAGTAGAGCTAAGGTCCCAGACCTCAGGACAGTATAGCTACAACCTTTGGCAAGCTTCAACAAACCCCCTCATTATTTGCAGCTATAGTTAATATTGGAACGTGCTCTTATAAATACTGATAGCTATTGCCTGCTCAATAAAGATATAGTTAAGATTGTCCCAGTCTACAGCTTGACATAATTTTTGTTTTTCACTAATTTTTGTGCCATTAAATTCTATACTTTAGAACGGTATAAGACTTCACATATTTTGACAGGATATCTATCAAGTGAATAATTTTCTTCTCACCCTCATTTTGTAAGAAAGAAGACTTTTAAATGTATAGCAATACCCATGGTTAAAACTGAAATTATATTCTTTAAACACAAAAGTGAAACAAAAGAAAATCTTAGCCATCTAAGTTAGAAACTCTGCCTGAATTAAAAAAGTAAATGTTCTTGAACAATGTGTCTCCAAATGACCTGGACAGCTGTAAACCCATACACTCCATCCATTCTATAGCTAAAGACAGTACAATATATTCCAAACCCCGCTTTTGATTCTGCAGGCCAGCAGTGCCTTTTATTTGCCTTATTGCACTGGTTTATCCACAAAAGGCAGGTGAAAATCCTATTGAGAGAAATGCTGACAACTCCTTGGATTATTATTTCTTTCCTTTGTAATAAGTGTGATTTCAGAAAAGTGATGCCATCTGTTTGTCCTTGCTACTTCTCTTTGTGTCTCAAGAAGAAAGCTAAACTCTGTTAGGTTATGTATTAAAAGCTCGTCTGCACACCCATAAAGGAGCACAGACAGACGATGGCAGGAGTGGGAGCCAAAAGAGTACTCTGCTGGGCCCTCCAGTGTCCGGGCATCAGCACATTCACTCTTGGTAGAAAATAGTCTGCCCATGAAATTTCTCCTGCAAGCATTGGTACTTTAAGTATCTCTCTCTACTTGTCATTTAACTCTTTAATTTTTACCAGTTCAGTAGCTAGACCATGGAGAACTTTGTCATTCAACACATATATAGGTATTAATAATTAATACATAAAATACTTTCCCTCTTAAATTAATACAATGTTTAAAAATATAATAAGTTTTTCTTGAAATCCAGACAACTGTGAATTGTCAAAATTTTCTCATTGGTTTGGGGTTTTTTTGCTTAAAAATGTAAGAATTCTGCAATTATCTTTGTAAAATTTTATCCAGCTGTAGTAAGGTAAATAATAAAGTAATATAAATTTGTATCTCTATAAATACTGGCTTCAATTTTAACTTTTCACCTGTTCAGAAGCATTTTTACTCTCTCTTCAATATTAAGAAGTTGTTTGCTAAAGAAAAAAATGGAGAAAACTAAGGACTGGATATATTTTCTCCATCTTCTAGATATTTTAGAATGCATTTTGTGAAAGAAAATCCCACTTTTAGCATATGAAAGAAGGAACAGAAGACACGTGTCACTGACTCAGCATACATTATTCAGAACCTATATAAAGAGCACCTTTTTCTTTTCTTTTTGTGCTTTAATAGTGTAGGGAGTGTGGAGATTATAGAAAATATTCTTATTTGGGAAACTCATAACAAAAGAGTAAATAATTTTATTTCAGAATGGCTAACAATCAGTATATAAACACACTTCAGGATTAACAACCTGAACCAGCATCTCTTTAGCAGCAGTCAGAGGTTGTCCCCAACAGCTCAGGACAGATTCATTGTGTCCATTTGAAACTCTAGTGAGTAATTACTGAGAATGCGTTTGCTGGGGACACCCAGATACAACAGCTGTGCTGCTTTGGTCCCTTGCAAGGTGCAGCACAGTGCTATATGGATACATCCCAATGTAGATAAGGTGGAATATGATTAAATCAACACCTTTCAAAAAAGGTTTTAGGATCTTTAACAACCAGAGAGCAACACTTTGACTTTTTATCTCAACCAAAAGACATCAGTGTCTTCCCTACTCCAATGCAATTTCGGAAGTGCGGAATGGCTTACAGTTATGACAAGTGGCGCCACTGTATCCAGTTCCATCACAAGTGCACTTGAAGCTGTCCCACGTCTGGGTGCATTTGCCACCGTGTTCACAGTGATTGGGCACGCATCTGTCAGGGTGAGATACAAAGACAGAAAGAAAAACCTAAATGAGCATCAAGTTTTACACATAGCTAAATTATGAGCTGCCCAAGCAGTGTATCACGTCCTCAGCTGGTAATTAATCCTTGTTATTTTAGGCAGATTAACAGAATTTATATCTGCCCACACAACTGCACAAAAAATGATTCATTAAGGCTCTGCTGGAGCCCTTTTACAAACAGCAGAAAAGTGCAATACAGGTGGAATACATTCACCCATCATAAGTTAGGGTTCTAAGCTGTGTATGACTGGTACTTCGCTGTCAAAACAACAGGAATGTCACAAGTCACACCCCCTCCTGCTGTGCAGGTGATGTCATGCCTCAAGGACTCCAATCCCACAACTGGCTGAGTTAAAGAAAGAATGCTGGTGAGTTGCTATTTATCTTTCTGTTGCCAGCAGTGGGATAAAGTGAAGGCTGACTGCCTGCTGGCCGGGATGGAAATTACTGATGCTGCATTATTAAAACAAACAATAGGTTTCTGTATAATAGCTGTAAAAGCATTTTCTTCACAGGGATTTGTGGCAAGTGTTGTTCACCTTTCTCCCACCCACCTGCTTTTCTTCTTCAGCTACACTGTTGCTGAAGAGTGGAAGGAATGCCAAGGAAAATATGGAACAGCAAAAAACAAAGTATAGCAGAACATATATCTATTGTTTGAAATATTATCAAAATGTGATTACAAAGATTTGAGTTTGTCTAATATCTTTTCAATTAAATATAGTTAAAAATGGGAATTACCAAGTACTTTCGCCTTTGAAACTATTACATTTCTATTCTTTGACAGAGCTTTGAAATGTAATTTCAGAGAATCTTTTTTTTTTTTTTCTTATTAAATTTGTTATAGTCAGACTCAGTACAGGCTCTGCATTTTTGATGAAGAACTAAAGGAGCTTTTATTTCATGCTGAGTTGGCCAAATCTAATTTATGAACTACATTTTTTTATCATGACATTAAAAATTAAAATTACGAGACCCCCTATTAGAAAAACAAATTAAAATACTTTCATAACTGCATTACAAATTAAGTATCCTCATCACTAAAATAAATCTGAAGTTCACCATATTCCTGTGATAGTTAATAATACTCTTTTAAATAACACTCAAGGATTTATTTCCTATGTAGCAGTTTACTGAAACTGAAAGTATCTGGGTGAACTCCCTATGAGCTTACAGTCTCGTACCTCCTGAAATTCCAATTAAGAGCACTGGCATCCATGTCTCAACTACCAAGAATAACCTATGTCATCATATGCATTAGAATCTTGACCATTGTGTACGCATATTTATAAAAGATTTTTAGTTTTATGCATGCCAGGACATGTACCTCATAATATACAAAATACAGATGTCTTATATCCTATATCAGTCTGTAGTATTCAAGGCTACACATTCTTTCTTCTTCAAAAAGATTAGAAAACACTAGCTTGGTTAAACATAGTGCTTAAAGAAATGCTCTTCTAAAGCAAGAAACAAAACATTTAACGATTTTGTTTTCACAATAAAATACAGTGAAACTACCCAAGGCAATTATCGCAGTTCAATAAACTATCTTTTCAACACAGTTTAAGTGAATTAATTTAGTTTTGTAAGTGTGGCAGGCTAAATGAACAGATAGAACTGATTACTGCTATTCAGCTAATAGGTGATGATTTTCTGTTGTGTTCTCAACACCACAGAAGTAAAACAAGAGCACGTAATAGTACATTTCTAAATATACAAAAGGGTTAGCAATTTATATGAATCCATAGTTGGTGGGTAGAAAAGTAAGGAAAGCAGAGAGCAGTGACATTTCAAAAATAATCTCATAAAAATAGCTTTTATTCAAGGATATAAACATCTACAAAAATTCTTAAATCTGAATATGTTTTTTGTATTTTTTCCAGCCTTTCAAAGTAACTGCTTTTGATGTATTTTTATCTTCATCTACTTTTGAACATACATTATTTTAAAAGTATTTTTTCAATGACCAAACTAAATAGTTTTCTCTGTGAATTTCACCATCTATTTATATGAAGTCTTACAAATAAGGCTAGCAACTTGTTTCATATTTTACTGTGGTATAACTTACATTTATTGTAGCATAACAAGTAAAGATACTGCATTATTGACTATATAACTGAGGTAAAAGACTTAATCTAGGGAAATATGAAAACCAAATATTTATCTGTATCATTTAATGGAGCATATTAAGTAATAAAAACAGAGATATTCAGCAAACTCCCTGATGTTAATTTTATACTTCTAGTACAAAGGTTGGACTAGCCTAGTCTGCAACAGCAAAATTTTTCTTTTTTACTCATCTGCTTTTCCCTGTTCTATATAAAATGTATTTAGAAATAGGGAGTAAACAATATCTTAATATTAGTGCTAACTGGAGTTTAAATCAGTCGATAGGATCATTTCTTTAGGTCCTCCCTCCACCCTCAATTTTCTGTTAACTTATTTTATCAGGCAGAATTATAACATTTATGTTTTCATTAAATCCATTAGCAAGCTTTTGTAACATAATCTACTGCTGATTTGTCCACTTTTTGGACAAAACTTACCTCCTATAATAGAGTTTACAGGAAATTTTAAGTAACCAGAATGTAGAAATTACGAAAAAACCCACAACCTTTTGAAGTCAGTAGAGGTATCAAGGGGAATATAATTTCTAACTGTAAACTCCATTATCTTTCTAATAATTTTCTTGCTACAGATTGATAGTAAGATATAAATGCTGGTAAGATAGAAGGTAACTTGCCTATGTATTTCCACATATATCTTGCTAAAAATTTTGTATTTTTAAAATTATTTAAGCATGTACAAAGCTTATCTACTTTATAATTATCATTTAGTATGTATACAAAATGTATACACTCAAAACCAACACATGCTCTACCTACAATTCAGTTTTATTAAAAGACTATGTCTCTAGGCAATTCCATTCTTTAGTCTCCTTTTAGGATCAAGGCTGCATTACATAAAAAAAAATTAACTTCAAAACCACGTTTGCCTCCTGAACTAGGCTCTGAAGTTAGAAGCTACTGCAAAACAGGGAACTGGAAGTAACTTCCTAGTCAACAAGTTGTGTCCATTCCCATTGTAGACACCCATATTTTCAGTACTGCTGCTTACAAAATCTTGTCGACTCAGTTTTGAGAACTTTGTTTGCTCTATGGCTCCTTCTGAAAATCTGGTCTAGAACTTCATCCCTTCAAGTGTGATACACTTTCTTTTAATTTCCACCCCAAAATTTATCCATAGAGAGTTTACAGATGCTGTTTAGTTTGGTATTTTGTACGGTAACATTGACTTGTGTCTCAACTTTTGTTCTTCTTTGGGATTTACATCTGATGACTATGTAGAGAGCAATCTTAACTTCTCTCAGACTGTATTTTTATAAAAACAATTCTCCTGTTGGAAAACATTTTTTATTGTTGTTCTTCCTTGTAGCTCTGCTCCCACTTGCACTTGTGATCTAATGAGTATTCTGGAGGAGGCCTTACTAGTGTTTTGTGATTTCAGAGTTGACCAACATTTTTGTATTTCTCTACTGAAATTATTTTGCTTGATACACAGCGTTTTCCTGAATACTTCAGAAAAGTGGCTTAAAGTCATCTTGAGACTGCTCAGTATATTAAATACCTTCAATACAGTCCCATCCTTCTTCTTTTCAATCACTTCCAGCCAACAAGCTCCATCTTTTTACAGAAATGCTTGTTATTGCTGTCAACATCATTACTCTGTACTATAACTTCCATGCTGTCATCCAAATCTTTCTGCTTATTTTTCTAGGCTGAATCTGTATCATCAGTACATTTTGTCAAGATATTCCTAATTCTGAGCCAAGGTGGAAGCATTAAACAGGATCAGCTCTGGCACTGATCTCTGAGCAACTCTAATCTCTCAGCCAGCTGCTAACCCATCAGTGTAAGTTGTGAGGCAATTCCATCTTCCAGTTCACAACTCACTTTCCAATTCCTCTCTCAAATCCCATCTTCCTGGATTTAGCTAATAAATTCCATCATTACAGTATATCAAATATTTTATTGACATCTGACAAACTAGATCTATTGTGTTTCTCCTGTCTGAGAAAAAACTACTGTGCTTTATCAGAGAAGGAGATCAGGTTAATCCTGAACAATTGACTGTTGATAAATATCTGCTGCAGTTTACTATACCTTACATTTACTTCCAGGTATTTGATTACTTTTTCCTTCATTTCTTCAAAAGCTTAGTAAGACTACTAAAGTCAAATTAATAGCTGTCTAGTGATCTGGATCTCTCTCATTCCATTTATTAAATTACATGAGATTAACTCTGTTGCCTAATAATACAAACCCATATTTTGTTGGGTTTTTTAGGGCTGCAATATGACATGTTGATATTATGAAACAGGGATATCTTCCCAATTATTATCTAATTAGTTTTGGTGTAGACTTGGTGCCTGTTTACTCTGTTATAATCCTAAGTAATTGCTATCCCTTCATTTCTTTGTTATTTGCTGATTCATTAGCAGTATTTAATCTGAGGAATATTAGCAATATTCCTCAATAATAGTTGGTATGGATACTGATATCTCTCTTTCAGCTGTGGTAGGAGCCAACTAACAGACTTTCACCTCCTTTTTTCTTAAATATTGTAACTGCATCCTCTAGTGTATGTCTTCTTTTTCCAGTCCTCCACAACACAGACTAAAGAAATAGAGCAAATTTCCATTCCTAAAAAAAACCCATGCCATTCCATTCCCTTCCTCCTGATGTTCAACAGTGCCCTCCCTATTAAAATACATATGGTATTTCTCCAGACCACCACTTAGAAAACTGGTCCCTTTTACACTTTTCCTGTAGTCAATTCTCATTAAAATTATTTGTAACAAATCTGTTTTGATCAACTGTCTATGTTTTAAAACTACAGATTGCAATTCCTATCTTCCAGAAAGATGATGGAAAACTGTATGTTACACTTTTTTCCTCACTGTCT